GGAGTAGACCTGCTCCTCTATGTTGAGAGGAGCCAGTTGAGGTGGCTCAGGCATCTGGTCAAGATGCCTCCTGGACGCCTCTCTGGTGAGGTTTTCCAAGCAGGAGGAGACCCAAGGGAAGACCCAGGACACGCTGGAGGGACTATGTCTCACGGCTGGCCTGGGAACACCTCGGGATTTCCCCGGAAGAGCTGGCCCAAGTGGCTGGGGAGAGGGAAGTCTGGGCCTCTCGGCTAAGGCTGGTGCCCCCACGACCCGACTCCGGATAAGCGGATGAAAATGGATGGATGGATGGATGGATGGATGGATGGATGTGTGTTTTTATAAAAAATGTGTAGAACGTTACGTTGCTGCATCCAAACAACTCAGAAAGCCCATCTCACGTTGGCTCAGTGGTCCGCAGCAGCATGGGAGGATCGTGTATTTGAGCAGTCTCAGATCCAGAAACAAAGACTGCCATGAAATCATCACACACACAAAGTGAGGCATGCCATTTATTTCAAAGACCTTTACATCTTCAGTGTTGTGGGGCAGCAGTGGCTCCGTGGGAAGACTGGTCAAAGTGTCCATGGATGAGAGGCTCAATCCCACACAGCCGATCCAATCTGCTAATCAGTGAGGTGAATGTGACCGTGCTTTAATTGTGCATTTCACTGTTAATCCCAGTGAAAGGAAGGGAAGGGGTTGAAGAAGTGGAGGGGCACCTAATCACTCACATGCTTCTCTGTTATTAATTAAATAATTTGCAGATACACAGACGGTATTTTGTGCCTCATCGCTTTGGCATCCCCTCCAGCCTGCCACCCCGCCGCGTTGCATACACACTTTTTGTGCCACTGATCCCATGTGTAGCCTCCAGGAATGGTCGGTTTTCCACCTACAGTCTGACCTCTTCAGCATCTGGTCATTTGGAGACGTAAGTCTTAACTGGTGCTTTTAATCTGCAGGGAAGATACTGTTGTTGGCCAAGGTCCCTCTCAAGCTTTCCGCTTATCTCAGACTGCTTTGCTTCACAGAACAAGAAGACGGAACTTTTATAACAATGAACCGTTATGAATAATGGAGTGTTAAAATAATCATTAAATGAATGAATAAGAATGGCTGAAGAATAATAACAATGTTGTGATCATGGATGTAATTTTCACTTTAGAAGTGTGTGTGTGGGGGGGGTATCTTTACAGTACGCTCTAATGGGAAACGGGCTTCAACACAAACGGTTGTTTTCCGCTTGGTCCTAGAGCTCAACCAGTGTCAATTCAATACAGCGTGATATTGTTTTTGGATGGTAAGAAGTGCAGTGGTCAAAACTTGACTTTGGAAAAAGTGGGGGCATGCACCCCCACCCCCCCACCCCCACCCCCCCACACCCCCCCACCCCAGAAAAATTACGTCCATGGTTGTGATTAATCTGCGCTTAAATTACTGAAGTTGAAATGATTATTATTATTACGTTGAAAGTTTAACAAGGATGAAATGAAATATATGTCCCTTATGGTTAATCAGCGCACTGACTGGACAAGACACACTCACCGTATCTCCATGACGCAAGTTAGAATTAACGTCACTGTGCATAAACCAGCACCTTCATGTCTGAGGGAGGTGTGTATCTGAGTTTGTTTGCAAAACCCCTTAACAGGGCAAGTTCTGATTTATCAGTAAACCAAAATATGGCCGTTATTTAAACAGCATCACTTCCTTAGGGATTCAATTGAGCCTAACTCTGACTGGCCATCGGAGGGGAACTCTGCTCCCATTGCATCTTTAACAAGCTGTCAAGCCCTGTTGCACGCTACAGCTGACCGCAAACGGTTCCTTCAGAATAAAGCGGAACCAGCTCTGACTCCTTAAGAGTCCTCCATAGACGCAAAACAAGTCCACCTGCTTGTCGTGACCCGGAGACGACTCTGGACTGGCCTGGTCGTACTGCGGTTTCTCTACGGACTTCGGTACCGCGGGGTCCACGGACTCCCCGACTTCTCTGATTCAGAAGAGAGTCTCCAATAAGGGTACGTAGACTCGACAGATTGCATCTGATGTGGTTTTATAAACCAGCACTATAGTTTATAGCAGACCAAATTCACTCCCACTCAGAACCCAGTTTCTCCAGATACGAGGGTTCTGATAACATCACATTAACACATCATCACACCTCACGTTCCATCCACTTAGATTCATTCATCACATAAAGTGTTCCTGGTTGTCATGTTTTTAATTGTTTAGAAAATAAAATTCTTACTCTGTATAAACTTGACTCTCTTCTTGAATTAATACGAAGTGTCGTACGATCCCTGCATAAACAACAAATTCTAAATCTTCTGGTTAAACATTCCAAGACCGATCAGACGGGATTTCTATTTTCATGTAGAAATCATCAAATCTTATTGATTGTAATTAAACCTCAAAAGACATCTGTAGTCATACACTACACATATAACCCATAGATCTTAGCAAGAGCTGTTATCAAAGTTAAAGCCCCATAGTCGACATTACACACTGGTGACATCACATCTCCACATTTCACCCGTCCCTGGGGAGCGTGGCGAGCTGCAGCGGTGGCTGCGCTCGGGAACTATTTGGTGGTTTAACCCCCTAATCCAGCTGAGTGCCAAGCAGGGAGGCATTGAGCCCATTGTTAGAGTCTTTTCGTATGACCCGACTGGGATTTGAACCCTGATCTTCCAGTCCCAGGGCGGACACGCTAACACTAGACCAGGTGGATTAGCTAACCTTTAGTGACACTCTCAGCTTCCTACTAATCTAGCTGCTAGTGTCAAACCCAATATTTGCTAAGTCATGTTTTATATTAAATGCACCATTTTTATAAGGTAAACTCCAAACCCCTGCAGCAGCACCAGCCTTAGAGAAACCAATCACACTGACCGGTTCCTCCCACACAGCAGACCTAGCATGAAACAAGTGTACAGAGAACCCTTTGAGCCAAACTCTAGAGTTTTAACCCTCTGGAGGCAGGTGTTGCAGATTAGCAACGTTAAAACCTACCTACCTGGTTACTCCACAGACGTATTTCATGAGCTGTACCCCTGAAGGACTTAGTTGTTCGTCCTTTTATCAAAACTTATTTTGGGCATGAGGGTTAAAGGGCTAGGATGTCAGGATGTTTTCCCATGATGCTTAGCAACAGAGAACGTTGCCTCTGATGGGGAAGACGTCCTCTGGAGAGACGCAGTGAGCAAAGACATCTACATCAGCACTTCACATCACTCTGATCAGGGTCATTTCTGTTAAATAACAAATACATCATAGTAACTACAAGCCCTGGCTTCTGTGCCTTCTCTATCTAACAAATGTTCTGTGCTGATTATGTTTTTACATTCTGTGTTGATGATTTATGAGATGATGTTTGGTTTTCAACACATTTTTACTGGTTTTGAGCTGGACACACGTGCACGCACGCACGCACACACACCTGCACACACACACGCCTGCACACACGCACGTACACACATGCACGCACGCACACACGCCTGCACACACACCTGCACACATACACACACACACACACACATGTACGCATGCACACACACACAAACGCACGCACACACATGCACACACACACAAACGCACGCACACACACCTGCACACACACACACACGCACGCACACACACACACAAACGCACACACACACACACACCTGCACACACACACACACGCACGCACACATGCCTGCACACACACACACACACACACTCACAGGCCTGCACACACACTCACGCACGCACACACATGCACGCAAGCAAACACACCTGCACACACGCCTGCACACACACACATGCACACACACGCATGCACACACGTTTGCATGCATGCACACACACACACACACATGCACACAAAAACACACACACATACATACACATATGCACACAAGCACGTACACACACACACATGCACATACATGCACGCACACACACGCATGCACACACGTATGCACGCACATGCGCACACACACATGCACACACACACATAACACACACACATACAGACACACATGCATGCACACACACATAACACACACACACAGACACACATGCATGCACACACACGCACGCACAGACACATGCACACAAACACACACACATACATACACACATGCACATACATGCACGTGGACACACACACACGCACACACACACATGCACACATACACACGCACACATACACACACAAACATACATAAACACGTACACATGCACGCAAGCACACGCACACACACACATGCACACACACACCCACATGAGCGCACACACGTATGCACGCACACATACACACGTACATGCACATGCACGCACACACACATTTACACACACACACGCATGCACGACTGAACACACACACACACACGCACACACACACACACACACACACACACCCACAAGTATGCACACACACACCCACACACACACACAAGTATGCACATACACACACACACACACACACACACCCACAAGTATGCACACACACACACACACACACACACACACACACACACACACACACACACACACACACACGTACTCTAATAAAAGAAGGGAAATCAGATTCTTTAAATAAGTACGTGGTGTGAGGTTTTATTTCATTTGTAGTCAACAGCTTCAGCCATTAGAGGTCCCTCTACACTTGACACATTTTAGCGTTGTGGTATCATTATTGCAGGGTTCATATTACATAAAGCACAATACCTGTTAATACACATGCAGTCTCTAATTCATGAGCAAAGAAATAAAAGAGCCAACCACACAGCTGCAGGTCTTACTCTGCTGGAGCTGTTTACACTCTGATGATCAGTAACTTTAGCATTAGCTCATTCTAGCTTGACAGCCAAATGCATTTCCAGTAGTCTTCATTCAAACCCCTTTCAGTGTAGTCTGGCCGTTTTCCCATCACAGGTAGACGGACCAGTAAACAACATTAAAGAACAGGAACGAGAAGGGGAAGAGGGCTCTTGCATAGAGGTCCACGCGCTTGGCAGCAGCAGGGATGACGGGCTTTGCTGGTGGAGGCTTCTTGTTTACTTTGTTCTGGGATTTAAGGGCTCCTGAAACTTCCACTGGTTTACCATAACAGTCAAAGTTAGAGAGTTCAAAGTCTCGAGGTAGAGATCCCACAATGCTGAAGTCACTGGAACGAAGGTCTGACTTGGAGGTGCAAACTTTCTTACAGCGATTTTCAACCACCTGCAAAGACGAAGGCCAGAGGGTTGGGTTACTGTTAACTCGTTCAAATTTAGAGTCTCTGAACTTGTTTTCATGATAAAAGAAAACATTCATGATGACATCACTTGCTTTTGCTAAGATACGGAACTGGAGAACTCATCTCACCAGAGTAGACACCCACAGAGCCCTTCTATCTTCTGATTTCAGTCATTTGGTGGCTCTTCACAAACAATGTGTCGCGGCACGATAACGGGACAAACAGGTCTTACTGCTAGGTGAAAACATCACCTCTCCTATCGTACATACGTAAACTTATCTCTGCAAACTATGACAGCTACCGGCCAGTTGTCCCAAACAGACAAACATGCATCAGATGTGTTGTAGTTTGGCGTTTAGAGTGGGAGGAAAAGAAGCTGAAGAGCTGGACTCATGATTTGTGCATGGTATGGTAAACTTGTATCATTAAAGGCGTAAAACTTGACACAGATCATTTCCTGTATCATATTTTGATGCCAGTATCTGTTGATAACATCGGACATTCCCAGTAAAAAAGTCACATTTGAAGTATTACTTCTGCCAGAGGACTCACAACTGGCTCAGAGAAACACTGCGACCAAGCTGCAGGCACCTGTAGAGTGTTGACGTGTAACGGTGTTCCACCCGTCCCGTTCACTGTGTTGTTGGATTTATTTGAAGGCTTCTTTGCCTCATTTTCATCCAACGCCTTTTTCTTTTGGGCCATTTTGACTTTCTCCTCTTCGATCAGCTTGGGGCTGTTTAGCATCACCTGCACAGCACACATGAAGGAACGTTAGTGGGAGGACAACGTGGATGTCAGCAGTGACCGTACTACAACTCACACCTGATGTTCAACATGCAAATGCAGCTCAGCGGCCCTTTAAAGTGAGAAAACTGCCTCAGCGAATGGGAGCAAAGTCCACTGGTGGGAACTGGATCTCGTGTTTGACTCCACTGGTACAGAGCACTTAACCTGCTGGGCACGAGGTGCTCAGAGCTTAGTTCCTCTTCTGCTGATGATCCGGAGAAACCAGCCGTCACCCTTACCTACAGTCACCACCTCAGGATGGAGGACCTCATCAACGTGAAGGTCCACTCTGCTTCTTCCTTCCCCTAGGAGCACTGGAGCTGACCTCAACCGGACCTGCTGCCACTTTATTCTGGTGTGTGTGTGTGTGTGTGTGTGTGTGCGCGTGTGCGTGTGTGTGTGTGTGTGTGTGTGTGTGTGTGTGTGTGTGTGTGTGTGTGTGTGTGTGTGTGTGTGTGTGTGTGTGTGTGTGTACTGACCTGAACCACAGCATACTCCACCAGGGAGGAAAACCCAAAGAGAAGACAAGCGATCAGCCAGATATCAATGGCTTTTACGTAAGACACCTTCGGTAGTTCTGAAGCCAGCGACATACTCTCACTGGACAGAGAGAGCACCGATAAAATTCCTAGAATAATAGAAATAAACAAAAAGTCATTCCAACAAACCAACGCGAGTCTTTATAGGTTCAGGTTTACAATCCTCTTTTTCAGGGAAAGGAAAGACGGGACTTGGTTTTTGGGCCCTCAGAGGGAATGTAAGGTGAATAAAATGTGTTTGAAACGTTTCTGTTAAGAAAATCATAAAACGTCAGAAATAGAAAACAAGTTTATAATATAATAATGTGAGGTTGTTTGAGGTTTTCATTGAAACTCGTGTTTTTCCTTTGGTAGTAATCCTCTGTGACTGGAGGTCCTGTAAAAACAAGCAGGAAACGGCAAATGCCAGACCTGTCTCAGACAATAATGAAATCAGCCAATCACATCGTTGCCTTAAGTTATCTTCGTGGGCCAGGTGTAGCTCTGCGTGTTTCACCATAATCTTTATTTAATGAAACGCTGTAAGAAGGTTAGACTTGTGTTTGCAGCGATCACCTGAGCCAGAGAGGAGCTGGTTGCTGCTGAATGCATAAAGTGGCAGTCTGTAAGATCTGGTGGTGCCTGTGTGGTGATGGTGGGCGAATACTGTTCATCTGAGTTACAGCGGAGTGGTGCGTTTGTGCTCACCCAGAGGGACTCTTGCAGCTGAGGCATCAGGATTGATCCAGAATGACAACCAGGACAAAACAACAATTAACAGCGTTGGAGCGTAGACACCCATCATGTAGAAACCAACCTGGCGACGCAATGTGAAAATCACCTCGACACAGGTGTAGTATCCTGGAACGTAGAAAAGGACGGGTCTAAATGTCAGCAGTTACTCAGAACATTTATTAGATACGAAATTTAAACTTTATTTCTAATGAATGTAGAAAAAGCAGCTGAATGGTAGACAGTTGGTAGGACTGCTCCCCCAAAAGCAAGAAGGTTGCATGTTCAAATCCCTACTGCAGGCTTTGCATAGAGAACTGTTAGCATGTTCTCCCCATGCATGTGCTAGTTTTTCCGGGTCTTCCAGCTTCCTCTCACACACCAAAAACATGTGTGCCAGGCTTACTGCAGACTCTAAAGTGTCCGTAAGTATAAGTTTGTGTGTGACTGACTGTAAAATTCCAGAAACATAACGCAGCTCAGTACAAACGAGGTGAGTACTGTAGTACACAGGAAAACACAGATTACTTACAGGGTAAAACTGGTCAATGTTTTTTCCCATATTGTTTTAATAAAAATTCAGAATAAAAATGAAGGCTTTCATTTCAAACAGCTGTTTTTATGAGTTAGCATGTAAGTAAAACCTCATGCATATGCCCACTGCTCAAGAACACATGACAGAAACACTATTAAAGCAATAGCAAATCAAGCTAGCTTAAAGCACTTTCCTCTTAATAACATTCAACATTGTATAGCTATAAATATATTGTGGAGATTTAAAAAAACCCAAAAGAATGAATTAAGATGTTCTCTCTCATTTGTCTAAAAACCTCAGCCAATTAAACGGCTCGGTCCAAAACCACTGATTGGTTATGTTTATGTTTATGTATTTAGCAGACGCTTTTGTTCAAAGCAACTTACAAGTGATAATCGGCATGTTGCCCTTGAGGCTAACAACAACAATAACAACAACGTGACATCAGTCATGGAGAGGAGGGAACAAGGAGTGGACAGTAGAGAGGGGGGACGGGTGCGGGGAGGGTGCTAGTTTCGAAGATGCTCTCTGAAGAGCAGGGTCTTCAGGAGTTTCTTGAAAATAGAAAAGGAAGCTCCTGTTCTGGTAGCGCTTGGAAGGTCATTCCACATTTGTGGAACGATGCATGAGAAGAGTCTGGATTGTCCTGAGCGTGGTGTAGGCACTGCTAGCCGACGATCCTGTGATGGCCGGAGCGGCCGGGCCGAGACGTAAGCCTTTGCAAGAGGATTCAGGTAGATGGGAGCCGTACCATCTCGGACTTTGTATGCTAGTGTTAGCAATTTGAATTTGATGCGTGCTGCTAGCGGTAGCCAGTGGAGCTCAATGAACAGAGGGGTGACGTGTGCTCTTTTAGGCTGATTGAAGACCAGACGCGCCGCTGCGTTCTGGACCATTTGAAGAGGTCTCACAGTACAGCCTGGAAGACCAGTTAGAAGGGCGTTGCAGTAATCGAGGCAGGAGATGACAGTAGATTGCACCAGGAGCTGGGTGGCATGTTGTGTTAGGTATGGTCTGATCTTTCGTATGTTATACAGCGCAAAGCGGCACGAACGAGCAACAGAGGCAACATGATCTTTAAAGGTCAGGTGTTCATCAATCACAACACCCAGACTTCCAACTGCCTTTGAAGGAGCCAGAGACAGGAAGTCATTTTAGACTGAGATATTGTGCTGTATGGATGGTTTTGCTGGGATGACAAGTAGTTCAGTTTTAGAGAGGTTGAGTTGGAGATGGTGGGATTTCATCCATTTTGATATGTCAGAGAGACAGTTTGATATTCGTGCAGAGACAGTGTGGTCGTCCGGTGGAAATGACAGATAGAGCTGTGTGTCGTCTGCATAGCAGTGGTAGGAGAAGCCATGTGATCGAATGATCTCACCCAGTGAGGTGGTGTATGTGGCAAAGAGAAGAGGTCCTAGTACAGAGCCCTGGGGGACTCCTGTGCACGGTAGAGGATTATCCAAGCCAAGATACACTGAATGAGGTCCTGTGAGGTACGATTTAAACCAGGCGTGTGCTTTCTCTGTGATGCCCATGCTAGAGAGTGTGGACAAAAGGACGCCATGGTTGACAGTGTCACATGCAGCCGATAAGTCGAGCAGGATAAGCGCTGAGGATTTGGCAGTCGCTCTAGCTTCTTTTATGGATCCCGTCACTGCTAACAGAGCAGTTTCAGTGGAGTGGCCCTTTTTGAACCCAGACTGGTAAGGGTCAAGCAGACAGTTTTGTGAGAGGTATTCTGTGATCTGCTTGAAAGCCGCCCTTTCAATGATTTTGGACAGAAAAGGGAGGAGAGAGATAGGTCGGTAGTTCTCCACATGATTTGGAGGAATAGATGTTTTTTAAGCAGCGGTTTAACCTGAGCATGCTTGAGAGAGGTGGGAAATGTACCGGATGTCAGTGATGTGCGTTGAACACGTGTGTGACTGCTGCGGCTACTGTAGGAGCAATAGCTTGGAGCAGCTTAGTCGGAATGGGGTCAAATGGACATGTAGTAGGGTGGCTGCACGTGAGAAGCTTGGACACACAGTTCTCAGTGAGAGGGGAACAAGAGGAAAATGAAGCAGTAGGGCCTGAGATGGTTGGGCTAGAAGGAGTTTGTGGTAGTGAATGTTCAGGAGTGGCCAGTTGAGTAAACCATGTGGTTGTCTGTCTGGCAGAACTGCTTTACATCAGTAGTTAGTGTGTGTGTGTGTGTGTGTGTGTGTGTGTGTGTGTGTGTGTGTGTGTGTGTGTGTGTGTGTGTGTGTGTGTGTGTGTGTGTGTGTGTGTGTGTGTGTGTGTGTGTGTGTGTGTGTGTGTGTGTGTGTGTGTGTGTGTGTGTGTGTGTGTGTGTGTGTGTGTGTGTGTGAGACCACTCACCTCTGCCATTTTCACACATGCAGACCAAGAACACACCTGTCCCATATTCATAGACTCTGGAGCCGATACCAATTTCGTGGACATTAACTTTGCCAACTCTATCGGTCTCGTCTTGCACTCAGCCAGGCTCACGAGGTTCAAGCCATTGATGGGCATATTATTATTCACTGAGCCACTCAGGAAACTGAACCAATGACCATGCGACTAGGGGCAATCATGCAGAGACAAACACCTGACATTTCTGTAACCCTGGGAATTTCATGGCTTCGCACCCACAACCCACAGCTCGACTGGGATAAAAGGGAGGTTCTGGGATGGTCACAACGATGTATGTCTACTTGCCTGTCTAATGTTTCTCCAGGCTTTTTGCCCCCACCAGAACCGCAAGAGAGCTACCCCGATCTCTCGAAGGTCTCCACTGACAATCGTGACCTCCATTAAGCTTCTAATGAGCACCGTGCCACCAGGTTACCACCACACCGTCCCAATGACTGTGCCATAGACTTGTTACCCGGCACCTCGTGACTCAGAATCACAGTTTTCACAATTTTTATGACGGTCTACAAATGTAGGTCAATTATTTTAGTATAACTCTGGTTTAACTTGGGCTATTAACAGAAATAGTAACCTGTGTGAAGTTTATAATCTGCATTTTAAACATAAATTGAAATCGAAGCTCAGAGAGGCGGAGTCTTGCTGCTGCGGCGTCCCAAAGGTGTGTCTTCATTGGTCGATTGCAGACAGGAGTTGTAGGATTTCAATCAGGGCTTGAAGACTTTTTGAGGATGATTTGGTTGTGAGACGGCTCAAAAAGCTGTCGCAGAGCCAGTCACACTGTACGTTCACAGCATGGTGCACAGATATGCAAATCACCCTGACGTTGACCGTTTTTTGTCACCATTCTGCTCAGGACGAGGGACTTGGCAAAGACGGTCCAAAATCGCATAGTGTGATCCCGACTTTAAAAATATCAGTGCACTGCGAGGAGACATTTCACTTTTGTTTGCTAAAAGCAAACCAAACTTTTCAGTTTTGTCCCCTACCCCCCTTGGACTTAAAGGGGTGCTAAAAGCAAACCAAAACTGAAAGGTTTTCCTGAAACTTAAAGTGGAACTTGGCCGTTCTGGCTAGCTTTTAGCACCCCCTTGCGTCCATTTGTAAAACCAAAAGCAAAACGTATCTCCTTGCTGTGCATTTGCCTTTTTATCACCCTATTCAAACAGCTAAAAAGTCTCCCCACCCTCCATTAGTGTCTAGAAGTGTGATTCATCATTTAATTAAACAAAGTCATCTAAAACATGCAGGAAACGTGCTGGAACCAGACTGCAGCGCCAGGTATGTCAGCTCAATTTTCAACGTACCAGACCAGCAACTCTGAAGTTGCAAGTGGATCATTCTGGTTACAAGGGTGATTAGGGCTGGATGGCCTTTCATTAAAGCATCTTTCCAGAGTATTTCACTTTTATGATGGTGCCATCTAGTGGCTGACAAGCCCATTACACAAAAAGTCTGTCGATGCGTTTTATTAAGATGGCGACTTCATGTTTCTTGTTTATAAATGTGCTTCTGCAGCCGACAAACAGAGCTAAAATACGTTGTTTTACGAGTATTATTCTCGTGTCATGTTGTGTGCTCATATATTTATATTTTAGAGACTTACTTGTTCGTGAAAAGTTCATCAACTCTGCATCAACATTGGTATTTCTTAAATTTGAAGCATGTAAGCGGTAGTCTAATGCTATTGGTTAGTTCTGGTTGGCGCTCAGTTTCCTATTGCATGGAGCTCTGCGGGGCAGGGGGCATGCTTGGCAAAAAACTGATGCTTCGGTCAACCAAAGCAATCCCCCTGAACAGGAACCACACATTAAAACAGAGTCTTGGGTATTTAAAGTTGAGCAAGCCTCAACATACTACCTGTAGAAAAATATTTACCTTGAAGGAAGGGCTGCACAGTTCGCTTCCCGGCCTGGGGTCTTTCTGCATCGAGTTTGCATGTTCTCCCTGTGCATGTATTCCGGCTTCCTCCCACAGTCCACAAACATGACTGTTAGGTTGACTGGTCTGTCAAATGGGCCATTCCCATCTTTACCGGGTCGGCCCGGGCCGGGTAGCGTAGGTTGTTTACATATCTGGGTGGCCTGGTATTTTTCCGGGCCAACCAAGGCTCAATCTCGGCCCTCTTCTCGAGGGGGTCTGCTTCAGGCCGACCAGGGCCAACACACCCACTGCTGACAGCAAATTCACACCTTCCATTAGAGCAAGCCTCTGATTGGTGGGTAGAATCAGCCCACATGGGCTTAAGACAAGGATGTGTGGAATCAACCGGGCCGACTGGGGCTACCCGGCCCGGGCCAACCCGGTACAAATTGTCCCTAGGTGTGTGTGTGTGCGTGCATGATTGTTTGTCTTGTGTGTCTCTGTGTTGCCCTGTGATGGACTGGCACTCTGTCCAGGATGTACCCCGCCTGATTGCCCATTGACCGCTGGAGATAGGCACCAGCCCCCCCGCGACCCTACGTGGACAAGCAGGGGCTGGTGCCTATGGACCGGCTCTGGGGGACAATGGATGGATGGATGGATGGATGGATGGATGGATGGATGGATGGATGGATGGATGGATGGATGGAACTCACAGCATAAATGAACTAACTAGAACCTGTCTGGTGTGAGCCACCTTGATTATTCACCATGGTCATTCACCCGAATAATGACACACCTACAAAACTGGGACAATTCTACCCCAAACCTGCAAAAAACATCCTCTGTACAACGTGGAAGCAATCATAGCAGCACATGGCAACGGTGTTGGACAGTGGTGGGACCCAGAGGGATCCGAGTAAATCAAGAGGTGGCTGGCACCGGCTACAACTATGTACACAAGGTATTCAATTTAAGGCTTGCATTTAACTATAAAACTCAATGTGAAGAGAACTATGAAAATTCACTTACCTGTTCCTTGATAATACTTTGTGCAGTTTCCATATTTTATGTCCTCTTGTTTGATGTCAAACTGTGGGAGTGCAATTTCATCCATTTGCACAGGGTCTGACTGCCACATGAACACAAGATCACTGGTGGTGTAGCCAACTACAACATAAACATTCAGACTGTTATCATCTGCAATCACAATCTGTGTGTGTGTGTGTGTGTACGTAATTTTCACTTTAGAAGTGGGGGGGGGGACACGGGTGGGGTGGGGGGGAATCTTTACGGTATGCTCTAATGGGGAACAGGCTTCAACACAAACGGTTGTTTTCTGCTTGGTCCTAGAGCTCAACCAGTGTCAATTTAATATAGCGAAATATTGTTTTCGGATAGTAAAAAGTGCAGGGGTCAAAACATGACTTTGGAAAAAATGGGGGGGACATGTCCCCCCTGTCCCCCCCAAAAATTACGTCCATGTGTGTGTTTGTGTGTGTGTCACACGGTGGGAATTTTTGTATTCAATTGGTCTAAGTTGTTAGATTCGTAATGTGTATCTTTGTGGGGTTTTGTATTTAATTTGAGTTGCATGATTGACTTATAATCAATGTTTTTTGGTATGCTTTGTTTTGAAGGCTCTTTTCATTGGTGGATCTCCCAGGAGACACTTTCATCAGTTGAACTGGATCCAGGATATGGAAGTGGAAAAAGGACAATAACCTGCCCCTCACGTCGGTGTTCCACACAAAAAAGAGTGGAGAATTGATTGTTGCCCAATAAAAGGAGCTGAGGAGGGAGAGTGGAGCGGGCAGGTGAGGTAGGAGTTTATCTCCAGGTGATGGAGAGGTTGAGGATATGGGCGAGGGTGTAGAAGAGGGTTAACTGTGGGTTATGGCCTTTTGTGTTCTTTAGTGGAACGCTAGGAGTCTGATCACCAATGGGCAGGAGTTTAAGACCCTGGAGGGTTTTGATGTGCTGCTGGATTTAGTTTGTGTTCAGGAAAATTAGCTGAAGCCGGTTTTGATTTTTTATTAAAGTGGCTATGTTTGTGAGAGATGGGATAGGTAGGGTTGGCTGGAAGGGGGTAGTGCAACTTTTCTTAGTTTTGTTCTGGGCATGGGGTTGGTGGGTGACACCCTTTGTGGTTTGTTGAGTGGGTCTAAACCGGTTTTATGGGTCGTGAGTTGTTTGGAGATTGGCGGAGTGACAAGAGTGGTGAAGTTTTGTTAGGAGTTTTAGACGAGACTGGGTTAGTAGTGCTCAACAACGGCATCCAACCTGGTGTAGGGGGATGGTCTCTGCCCATCTAGCTTGGACCTGACAATTGTTTCAGCAAACTTGGCGATGGCGGCGCGTGAGCAATGCAAGGCTCAGTGTCTCTCCAGAATCTGCTATTTAGCAGTTTTTTTATATCTACTTTTAACCGGAATATTCATCCAGAATTGCTGTGTGTCGCTGACCTACAGCAGACAAGCGCTTCTGGACATCTGGACTCAGAACTCCAACAGTTTTATCGCCGATCTCCGACTCATCCCAGAGATCTCCAGAACACCGGAGGCTGCCCACTCTCCCCGGCCGGGCTGAAGTGCACGCAGATGGCGCCGAGAACATAAACAAAGGTGAGGTAGGTGCGGAGGGATACGGGCTAAGCTAAAGCTAACACCACACCGGCTGCCTTTACCATGTTAAAAATACCATTTTCACAGCAGAAATAAACATGTTTACAGCCTGGTACCAGAACATGTTTTTGGTTTAAATGATCTAGTTTACACTCATGACAACTCTGAGGGGGGTGAATGTTTTTCTCACTCTTCTGTTTAAGTGTATTAAAAGCCTAAAATTCTGTATAATTAATGAGCATCAGACCCACGTGACCACAGAGCTAGCTCCGTGGAAAGGCCTCAGTAGAGCCTCGGTCTGGCCTGGAAACTGCTCCGGGATTTTGAGTCTCTGTGTGTGTGTGTATTCTTGTTTGGATATTATTTGTGCAATTGTTGGACAAAATGACTTGCTGTGGCATTAATTGAACTAATAGAGCGTCCAAGGAGTCTCCACTTCATGTTTTTCGGTAAGTAAAATTATATTTATGTATTTTAGGTCACTGCCGAGCTGAGCTTAGATGTTAACATGTACTGTTTAACCATGAAATTTAAATGTAATAGGGTAAAACCCAGTGCATTTAACATAATGCTGCACTTTAGAAAATGGGTTGAAATATAACATGTTGGTGGAGCTGGGTTCCCACTATCGGCTTGTGGAGCTCTCGGGAGACCGATGTTTTCCACCCGGTTCTCCCCTCCCCGCATTCCGGTCCATCTCTGTCTGATCTCGACTTCTGTTAGCTGCGCGGGCTGACGGCTGGTTCTCCCAGCAGCTCGGCGCATCTGACTGATCGCGGCTTCTGTGTGCTGCGGCGGGCTGACGGCTGGTTTTTATGGCAAGCCAGAACCGCCAAAATACGCCACTTCTCCCCGCAGCTCGGCACATCTCTGTCTGATCGCGGCTTCTGTTTGCTGCGGCGGGCTGACGGCTTGTGGAGCTCTGGGATGGAAACCTTTGACACGGTCAAAATGGCGGTGGTGGCCACCTCCCATTTGGCCTCAAAAAAGTGATATTGGAGCCTATGGAAAGAAGATGTCCACGTATATTATGTCGATGTCTTTACCCAGTATCTTCCTCGCCAATGTCCATTCTTTGGCAAACAAAATGGATGAGATACGGCTCTCCATCACTAACAACAGACGAATAATGGACTCAAATGTCATGTTTTTTTTTTACCAAAACATGGATGAACAACAGCTACCCGGATAATGCTATTAAGTTAGCAAGACGTTACACACACCAAGCTGACTCCGGCAAGACCAGAGGTGGAGGTTTGTGCATTTATGGTGCATGAACTCCACTACTGCTGAGAGCCACTGCTCACCTGATGTGGAGTTTTTAACGGTCAAATGCAGACATTATTATTATCTCCCCAGAGAACTCACTTCTATCATACTCACTGCTGTATACATCCCCCCCCCCCCCCCCCCCCCCCCCCCGAAGCTAATGCTAAGCTGGCCATGAAAGAACTTTCTGCAGCCATTAACAAACACCAGAATAAACACCTCGAGGCTGCTTTTATTGTTCCTAACTTCGACCACACCAACTTAAGGACAGTCCTCCCCAGATTCGACCAACATGTCTCCTGTCACACCAGAGGAGACAATACTTTAGACCCTGTTTATTCCAACCTGGCTGGAGCCTACAAAGCAACACCCCTCCCCCACATTGGACAATCGGACCATCTTTCGCTGTTCCTCACACCTCGGTATTCACCACTCATCCAACGTGTGAAACCTGCTTTGAGGACAATTCAAGTGTGGCCAGAAGGGACAGACACAGTGCTCCAAGACAGATTTAAAAACACAGACTGGAATATGTTCACCCAAACAGACCTGGACCAGTACGCCTCATCTGTACTGGAGTTCATCTCCAAAACCACAGACAGTGTCACCACTCAGAGACGGATCACCATGCCCCCCATCAGATGCCTTGGATGAACCCGGATGTTCGTCTCCTCCTGAAGGCCCTCAACACTGCCTGTAGGTCAGGAGATGCACACACCTACAGTACAGCCAGGGCTAATCTAAAGAAGGGTATCAAAAAAGCCAAACACCATTACAAAAAGAAGGTAGAAGAACAATTCTCCAACTCCAACCCCAGACGCATGTGGCAAGGACTCCAGACAATTACAGACTACTGGACCACCAAATCCTCCCCCGCATCCTCTGATGTATCCTTCCTCAATGAGCTCAACAACTTTTATGCTCGTTTTGAGCGAGGGAACCCCACAATCACAACCACAGCAGACGTGATGCCAGACCCCCAACCTCTGACTCTTTCCCCCAACGATGTAGGAGCGGTGCTGAGCAGGATCAATGTCCACAAGGCTGCAGGTCCTGAAGGCATCCTGGGGCGTGTTCTCAGAGCATGTTCTGAGGAACTTGCAGGAGTGCTGACTGACATATTCAACCTGTCCTTGGCCCACGCTGTGGTAAAGGCCTGCTTCAAATCCACCTCCATCGTCCCGACACCCAAGAATGAAATAAACGAAAAAAAATAATAATAATAATAAAAAATACCCCAACCCAACTAGCCTCAATGATGACCGCCTAGTAGCACTCACCCCCATCATCACAAAGTACTTAGAGCAGCTGGTCCTAGCACACTTCAAATCTTCCCCTCACCCTGGACCCCCACCAATTTGCATACCGCCAGAACAGGAGCACAGAGGATGCAGTCTCCATCGCACTGCACTCTGTCCTCTCACACCTGCACAACAATAACACCCATGCCATAATGCTGTTTATAGACTTTAGTTCAGTATTCAATACAATCCACCCCCACAACTTATCAGGAAACTGATAGACCTGGGCATCATTTCCCGCACTGGACTTCTTGACCAACTGCCCCAACATGTCCGGCTGGATAACCACTCATCTACAATTACAATGAACACCGGTGTACCGCAAGGCTGTGTGATGAGCCCTTTCATCTACTCCATCTTCACCCATGACTGCAGACCTGCTGGTGGTTCTAACACCATCATTAAGTTTGCAGATGACACCACGGCGATTGGCCTCATCAGGGATAATGATGAGGCCGCCTACAGGGAGGAGGTGGATCATCTGGCTGAGTGGTGTGACGCAAACTACCTGCTGCTTAACACTGAGAAGACCAAGGACCTCATTGTAGACTACAGGAGGAATGCTGACCCACATCCACCCATCTACATTAAGGGGACGGTTGTGGAGTGTGAGAGCAGCTTCAAGTTCCTGGGAGTCCACATCTCCGAGGATCTCACCTGGATGACCAACTACTCCAAGCTGGTCAAGAAGGCTCACCAATTCTTTTTGAGGACTCTGAGGAAGAACCACCTGTCCTCAGACATCCTGGTGAACGTCTATCGCTGCACCATCAAGAGCATCCTGACCAACTGAACAGTCTGGTATGGGAACTGCTCTGCCTTGGACCGGAAGGCATTGCAGAGGGTTGTGAAAACTGCCCAACGCATCGTCGGAGCACCACTTCCTGCCATAAGGGACATCTACAGGAAACAGTGTCTGAAAAGGGTTGAGAAAATAATCAAAGACCCCAGTCACCCATCACATGGGCTCTTCACCCTCCTGCCCTCTGGGAGGTGCTACAGGAGCCTCCGGACTAAGACCACCAGGTACCTGAGCAGCTTCTTCCCCACAGCTGTCAGACTCCCGAACTCTGCCTCCTGACATGGGTCAAATGTCCCATACCTGCAGAAATTATTCACATACCTCACTGACCTTAACTGCTTTACTGTATACATCTGTGTAAATAAACATTCTGTACAATTGCTAAAGCACTTCTGGATGGATGCAAACTGCATTTCGTTGCCTTGTACCTGTGACATGTGCAATCAGAATCAGAATCAGAATGAATTTTATTGCCAGCGCTCCTTTCAGAGCGTAGGAACTTGACTCCATAGTACAACCTGACCAAGGTTACACACACACACACACATGTAGACAGGACAGATACAGGCAGACCATGGGAGCAGCCATTGACGGCGCTCCTTTGTAGATGAGTAAGGGAATACATGAGGAAAGTTCAGGGAGAGAGAAAAAAAAGGCATTAACAGGGTTACACCAGCAGGGTGTAGCTCTCCAATGCAAAAAAACACCCGACATGTAAGCAACAAACGTCACAGTTCACAACATGAGACCCGGTAGGTAGGGGGAGGGGCTGGGATCCTGGTTCCTCAGCGGGGGCAGCCCGTTGTGGCGCTCAACCAGCTGGCTCCGCAGGTGGGAGGGAGGTCACGGGGAAGCACAGAGAGCAGTGAATCCTTAGCAATGAAAATAAAGTTGAATTATATTCTATTCTTAAAGCAGCCCCAGACTGCTGGGGGGCTGGAAGGAGGTTCTTTTCTACTGTAAATATGCCATGTTGGCTTTTCTGCAAACAGGGCAGTTTTGATCATAAACAAATATTTCTATTTGGACTTGTCTGTCCAGAGAATGGACCTCCACAATGCCTCTGGTTTGCCTAAGTGCTTTCTGGCAAAGTTGGAACTGGCAGCTTGGCTCTTTTTTGAGACCAGAGGCTTCCTTCTAGCAAACCATGAATGTCATTGCTATTCAATTTTTGTCTGATTGTAGACACATGCACATTTGTCCCAGATGCTGCCAGAAAGGTCTGCAACTCTCTAGAGGTCATGTGTGGGTTGGCCATTCTCCAACTTGTTTTCTTCTGTTGCTTCTCACTGACATGTCTGATGGGTGTCCATTCCTAGGCTAAGTTGCTGTCATGTTGAAAGTCCTCTTACAGAGGATGGCTGCAGCTAGATTTTTTGGAAATGGTCTTATAACCCTCCCCAAACTGATTATCTGTCCCTATCCTCTTCTTCATGTCCCTGGATATCTCCTTTGCTCTTGGCATTGTTATTTTGAATGGGACCGCACTGGTTTAGTTGGTTTCCTCTCTTTTAAATGGTGCAGGCCAAACCCAGTCCCAAGGATGTCCCATTTCATTAGACTGCTTAAAAAAGGACAAAATAAGCATCTAAATGTGTCCAACTGATTGTGTTTCCCGCTTGACTGAACCAATGGAGCTCACTGACTTTTGCACGTATACCGATTCCATGTTTTGTGTAGTTTTTGGGCCACTTAAACAAGTCCCACTACACAAGTACATACAATTGATAAACATTCGTCTGGTTTCATACATAAAAACAGGTGACGATAAAATAAGAAAATCAAGGTAAAACAACAAAAACATCTAAACTGCTCTCGGGGTTCACATACTTTCTAGTGGCGTGTCCAGATCTTTTAAAATGGGGTGGCCCAGGTGAGGCACAACTTTGTGCATGGGTGGCATCAATGGTTATGCTTTTTTTGTTTTACCCCCAAGCCTTTTGTGGACAATGAAAAGCCTGTTTAAAGGTAAATTAGTGTGGTGACACCTGGGGTGGCCAATCAGATTCCAAGGGGGGCATGTGCTACCCCAGGTCACTCCCTGGACACGCCCCTGATACTTTCTAGCAGCACTGTTTAATTTAAATGTAACAACACAAGCCCAAAAACCCTCAAAACCTAACATCAACATCTCACATGGAGGTAAAAGCCATGGCTGGAAGATGGGTTTTCAGTGCAGACTTAACAACTGACAAGGAGGACTGTCTGACTTCCAGAGGCAGGTTATTCCACATCATTAGAGCTGCTACTCCCAAAGCATGATCTTCCTTAAGCTTACGCTTTGTCCTTTGAACTATCAGGAGCAGCTGATCAGCTGACCTGACATGGCCAAGCTCCTCCCTATATTACTGATCTGTTAAAGCCTTATGCTCCAACCCGAGCCCTCAGGTCCACCCACCAGAACCTTCTAGAAGTTCCAAAGGCCAGATATAAAAGTCGAGGTGATGCTCCTTCCAGACTGTTGCACCCCGACTCTGGAATGATCTTCCTGTGTAGCGTTGACAGTCTGGACACTTAAAAAACAGCTGAAGACCCTTTTATTTAAAGCTGCTTTTCCCTAAACCTTTTATTTTCTTATTTTTAGTTTAAACATTTAATCATCTTTCATCTGTTCTACTTTATTTTTTTCTGATGTTAATCTTTTTCAGTTTTATATCATTATGATTTTATGACTTAGTTTTGTGTGTGAAGCACTTTGTGGTTTGGTGTCTGTGATAAGTGCTATATAAATAAAATGTACTTACTGACCTGAGAGACTGGGTGGGAGTGTACTCCACCCTGGAGGCATCAGCGGCGCAGAACCATCTACTCGTGCTCCTCGGCACGTCGATCCACACCGCGGCTGAAGGGGGTCGCCTCATAGACTATAATGGATTCTATTTGAAGCAGACGTTCCGCGCCGCTGATGCCGCCAGTGTGGATTGGGGGTGAGGCTGCAGGACCTCAGTGAGGTATGACGGGGTGAGGCCATGAAGGGCTTTTGAAGCAAATAAAAGGAGTTTTAAAGTCTTTCTAAAAGGAATAGGCAACTGGTGACATGAGACTAAAATAGGGCTAATGTGTTCATGCTTCTGTGTGCCATGTTAGGACTAAAGCACTGTTTCATTTTTCTTTTCTGAAAAGGAGGCCATTGTTCATCTCAACTCCCTGCTTTTTTACTTTACTATCTAATTTTATAACTCTACTTAAACATGTTTTAATGAAAATATCAGAAGTGTGTTTGTACTCACAGCTTTCCAGTTGCATCTTACAACGTTGTGTGTCCATCGGGAAGAGAGTAAGGTCCAAAGGACAAGACAGTGTCACAGAAAGCCTAAACACACACACACACACACACACACACACACACACACACACACACACACACACACACACACACACACACACACACACACACACACACACACACACACACACACACACACACACACACACACACACACACACACACACACAAAGCATAAGGTTAAACTTTAGAATGAGTCCCCTTGCCATACATGGTGAGTGTCATTTGTTTCCTTTGCACAAGGTGGGCCATTCATATGGACCCACCTTAGTAAAATGGAATGGTTGGTGATTTTAACGTCCTGTTTGTGGCACGTTAGTATATGTGAGGGGGCAAACTTTTCTAGGTGGGTGGTGACCATGTGGTCATTTTGAAGTCAGCCATCTTGGATACAACTTTTGGTTTTTTCAAAAGGAAGAGGGTAATGTGACACATCAAACCTATTGGGAATTTCACAAGATAAACAATGGTGTTCTTGGTTTGAACGTAACTTTATTCTTTCATGAGTTATTTACAAGTTTCTCTTCGTTCACAGCCGTTGACATGTCGAAGAGGTTAACACGTGAAGAGCAGATCGAAACTGTGTTGGTATCTGGTGAACACAGTAACCGGGTCATTGCAGCAGATTTCAATGCAAGACACCCTACGAGATCACCCATCTCCCTTGCTACAGTTAGCAAACTGCTAGCTAAGTTTTGTGAAACTGGTTCAGTGTTGGATTTGCCAAAATGTGGAAACATGACAACTGTCACTATTGAAGAAACATCAGTGGCTGTCCTAGCTTCATTCAACAAGAGCCCACAGTGTAGCACTCGCCGCATATCACTGGAGAGTGGCATTAGTCGAACATTCCTTTGGCGGATATTTTTTTTAAGTTTCTTTTCATTTATTCACGATTAAAAACAACACACAAAACAGGTTTGTGAAAACAAAAAATGAAAAAGGAACAGAAAGAAGCACAGCTTATGTTATCTGTTCCCCTTAACCAAAATAATTACAAATGACAACAAAGTTATTATAGTTAAAAAAAACTGTCTGACCTGGTCTACTGATTTAGCTTTGGCAAAAAATGGAGAGAAAACAAATATGTACACGAAATTTTTTTTCTTCTTATATTAATGAAAGGAGAAAACAATTAATGCAAAATAAAAAAAATAAACGAAGAGTGTGTTTTCCCTTTCATTCTCTCTACTTCATAAATACATCTATCTCATAGCATCATATAAGCTAAGCATTTCATTTTTGATGTTTATTAAAGGTAAATATTGTTTTGGTATTCTTGATTTCGGTACTTAATTTATTCCACATTTCGACTCCATATATTGATACACAACGTTCCTTTATATTTATCCTGTGTTTTGGCATCGTGTATATTTTGTTGCCTTTCAAATCGTAACTACTCTTTCTTTCCACAAATCTTATAATCAAATTTGTTGGAAGGTGCTTTTTGTCAACTTTATACATACATTTCAAAATAGTATAATCTACTAGGTCGTAAAATTTAAATGTTTTTAATTTGATAAATAATTGGCTGGACGGATCTCTATAATTGCTTCTTGTTATAATTCTTATTGCTTTTTTTGTAGGATAAAAACTGGATGTGTATAGGTTTTATATGTTATGGTACGGTATGACCAATGAATTGTATAATAAATATAGGAATTTGTCATCTAGTGACATTTCACTCTAGTATTGCGATAGATTTAGCTATTTTAGTTTTGAAATTGTTTATATGTGGTTTCCAAGATAAATCCTCATCAATGATGACTCCCAAAAATTTAACTTCCTTCACTCTTTTAATACAGATTTCATCAAATTGTATTAATGTTTTTATATTCAACTTTCTATTACTGAATATCATAAAATATGTTTTATCTGTGTTCAATGAAAGCTTATTTCCGTCGAGCCATAATTGGATTTTTTCCAACTCTGTATCACTTCTGTCGTTTGATCAATATTGTCTCCTGAATAATAAAAAGTTGTGTCATCTGCAAATAAGATACACTTTAACATAGTAGATGTAGAGACAATATAATTTATATAAATAATAAATAGTTTAGGGCCTAGTACCGACCCTTGTGGTACTCCACAAATAATATTATCCAGATTGGATTTGATGTTGTTTATTTGAACATACTGTTTCCTGTCATGTAAATAACTCATTATCCATTTTAGGGCTGTTCCTGTTATGCCACATTTACTAAGATTTTTTTAGAAGAATGTCATGATCTACTGTATGGAATGCTTTTTTTTAGGTCAATGAAGATACTTATCAAATGTTTTTTTTTCTCAATGGCTTCCGATATTTCTTCTGTTAATTCCATTAGTGCCATTGAAGTTGAGCGATTTGGTCTAAACTCATACTGACTGTCATTTAAGATATTCTCTTTGTTCAAAAATGCATCCAATCTGGTAATATATCGTTTTTCTAATATTTTTGAGAATTGTGACAGAAGGGATATAGGTCGGTAGTTGGAGAAGATATGCTTATCTCCACTTTTGTGAAGCGGAATGACTTTAGCTATTTTCATTTTGGTAGGAAATATGCCGGTTGTAAATGATAAGTTACATATATAAGTAAAGGGAAGGATAATATCATCTATTATATGTTTTATTATTATTATGTCTAAATTGTTCCAGTCAGTTGTTCTTTTATTGATGAGTTTTTTTTACAACTTCTCCTACTTCTTCATTAGTCACTGGATTTAATAACATGCTATTTTTGTTACTTGTAATTATTTCGCAAATGTTATAATTAGTTCTTTTTTTAATGTTGTTTGCCAAGCTTGGTCCCACGTTAGTAAAGAATTTATGAAATTCATTGATGATTTTGTTTGAATCGTTTATTTCAGTGTCTTCATTTAAAAAATAATTCGGAACAGTTGAAAGTGATTTATTTCTTTTTATAACGTTGTTTATTATTCCCCAAGTTGCCTTTATATTGTTTTCATTTTTTTCTAGTAAATTGCTATAATTTTTTTTGTCGTTTTATTGTTGAAACTAAGTTATTCTTATATTCGCTGGTTCTTTGTTTTAAAAAGCTTCTGTATAGGGCTTTTTTTTCTTGCAGGCATTTTGCAGTCCTTTTGTCAACCATGGTTTATTCTTATTATCTTTTTTGAAAGATTTTTTATCATACAGTTTTTTTCGTATTGACTGCACAGTATTCTTATAAAAAAGCTGTAAGCCAAGTTTACATCATTTATACATATTTCATCCCAGTTTTGCTGTTCTAGGGTTCTATTAAATGAGTCTATGGCTTCTTGTGACTGATCCCTTATACGATTTTCCATTTAAGGTTGATGTCTAATCTGATCATTCTTGTAGCACGTGAAAACTGGCAGATGATCTCTAATATCAGTCATTATGATTCCAACACTCTCCAACCCCCCGAAACATTACACGATATGTTATCTATGATTGTTGAGCTTTGAACAGTAATTCTTGTGGGTTTGGTTATCAGAGGAAACCGACCAACTAGATGCATGGAACTTACAAAGTTGTTTGATAAATTGTTTATATTTTTCAAATCAATGTTGAAGTCCCCACAGACAAACAAATTCTTGTTACCGATTCCATTAAACATTTCCGAAACTGTGTTTGTGAATGGTTCAATACAGGAACCTGGTGCTCTACAAATACTGCTAATTATTGTGTTTTTTGTCATCTCAGATGTTATTTCAACTGTGATCATTTCCATTACATCAGCAATTGCTGTCAACATGTTATACATCACTTTGCTTTTTAGGGTGTTACATATAAACAGTGCTACACCACCATCTTTTTTATTTTCCCGACTCTGGTAATACATCTCATACCCATCTATTTGAACGTCCTCAATATCTCCTTCTTGTAACCATGTTTCTGTAACTGCAATGACCTTAAATCTCTTTTTTTGTGCTAAAAACTCTAATATTTTATCATAATTGCAATGCAAACTTCTACTATTGAAGTGGATGATGGACAGTGTTTCATTCACCAAGGCACAGTCACCCAATTCTTGGTCGTTATAGTATTTGCATTCATTATTATGCATGTACAGATTATTGTCTAAATCTTTTCCAGGATCGTATATTTTGTAGTTCTTCTTGTATTCTTGTGTCCATGTGTTTGTTTATTTATTTATTTTTTATGTTTACTAGTATTTAGTTTTTGTGACTTAGTGTGGATTTTCCTATATTTATTTATTTTTCCCACATTTCTCTTCCATCCATCAGTCATTGTTTATTGAAATTTTCCGGTTCCTTCAGCACCTCCTTAGCCAGTGATCCTTCTTGTTCTTTGATCCATACGTTCCCATTTCTTGTCCATGTTGCTATAATTTTTTTCTGCTTTTTTAGCATCCGTGCTTCTCTGGCTATCGTCCCATTTGTTTTGGTCAGATGTTCGTTGATGTACACATTAGTGCCTCTTAGCTTGTTTCCTTGTGCCAGTACATAGTTTCTTTGTTTTCTGCTGGTGAACCTTACTATAACAGCTGGTTTTGCCTTTTCATAGTTCTTAGGCAGAGTGTGACGTATGGCAATGGCTTCATTTTGTATGGAAATATTCTTATTGTGTAGAAATGTCACAACTTGTTGTTCAAGTGACTCAAGTCCTTTTTCTGAGGCATCTTCTGCTGAGTTATGATTGGTAACTGCATTAGCATAGCTTCTGTGTCTGGTTTCAAGTCCCATCATTACCAAGTCTTCTCTTCTTGTATATTGTTCAAGTTCGTCCACTCTTTGCTCTAAAGCCGACATCTTTTTCTCTTTCTCGGTTAACGGTACTTTGAGTTCTCTCACCTCGTCCATCAGTCTTAGCAAGCGATGTAACTTTTGACAGCTCACCTGACATGTAGTTCAGAGATCGTTTGATCTCCTCCAGGTGGTCTGCAGCCATGTCTTTGCCCCGTCCAGCCGATCGTCCTCCTGGCATTTTCCTACTCAGATTTATCCTCTTTTGCCGTCCTCCGGTCCCGCGACCCCAGCACAACAGGCCGAGCTCCGCGTCGCCAAGTCGGGCTCGATGGCAGGGCTCGCTGCTGTCAGCCGCCCCAGAGGAACCACGCCAGGTCTAGTGCCTCGCTGGAGAGTCACGCCGGACCTGGTGGTGCCGTGGGGTCAGCCACGCCGGGTCTGGTGATTTCAGCCGCCGGGCCTTGTGATGTTGGCCACCGGAGAGCCCTGCCGGTCTGGTGATGTCGACCGCCAGGCCTGGTGATGTCGGCCGCCAGGCCTGGTGATGTCGGCCGCCAGCTCTGGTTCTGGTTCTGCTTCCTTGCAGCAACGTGCGTGTTGACAGCTCAGCTGTCACCCCTCCTGAAGTGGTAGCAGGTTTTCTTTGGCTGTGTTTAGCCAACAGCTGCTTTTGGAGCTCCGATTGTCACGAAGACCGCAGAACATATTCTCTGGTTCTGGAAAGAACTCCAAGTTTTTGAGGAGGAGAAGAAAGTTTCCATAACCTTTCAAAACAACAGGACTCTGAGCGGTTCTGGTTTGGTTCTGTGCACCGTCTCTGCATCTGAAAATGTCCCTGCTGTGCTGAAGAAACAGAACCTTGGTGAGAATATTAGCTACTCCCAAATGGCACTCTTACAAACTCCAGCTACTGCAGCATCTCCATGTGCATGACCCAAATCGGCGCTCAAAATTGGCAGAATGGGGAAAACAAAAATTGGAACAGGACCCTCAGTTCACGCAGAACATTTTGTTCAGTGAAGTGTGAAGTTAAACAAAACCACCTCTATTGGTCTGACACTGACCCACATTGGCTAGATCCCTCCAAGATTGTTGGAACAAAAAAAGTGATGATATGGTGTGATACATGGGGTACTAAGGTAGTGGGGCCATTCTTCATCAAAGGAAACCTCAAGGCTGCTGGATCTCTGAAATGGTTACATGATGATGCGTTTCCCTCTTTATGCAACGAAGCTGGCATGTTCCCTGAGTTTTTCCAGCAAGATGGTGCACCACCACATTATGGGTGTCAGGTCAGAGCATTCATAGATGAACAGTTTCCTGGAAAGTGGATTGGTCGTCGTGGGCCAGTTGAATGGCCCCCAAGGTCTCCTGATCTGACCCCCTTAGACTTTTATCTTTGGGGTCATCTGAAGGCAATAGTGTGAAGATATGAGATGTGCAGCACCTGAAACTACGGATACCGGAAGCCTATGCTGGCATTTCTCCTGCGGTGTTGCTATCAGTGTGTGAAGAGTGGGAGAAGAGGGTTGCATTGATAGTTCAACACAATGGGCAGCACATTGACACATTTCATAAGTGATCAGAACCTTGTAAATAACTCATGAAAGAATAAAGTTATGCTCAAACCAAGCACACCATTGTTTTTCTTGTGAAATTACCAATACGTTTGATGAGTCACATGACCCTCTTCCTATTGAAAAAAACAAAAGTCGGACCCAAGATGGCCGACTACAAAATGGCCGCCATGGTCACCACCCATCTTGAAAAGTTTGCCCCCTCACAAATACTAATGTGCCACAAACAGGACGTTAAAATCACCAACCATTCCCTTTTACTAAGGTGGGTCCATATAAATGGCCCACCCTGTATAATGGTTAGACGGGGACCAGTGACCTTAAGCAGGCTACGTAGGTTTTGAATGATGGCAAAAGCTTCAACATATTTGTGCTTCTGCTTGCTGCTGTAATTACAACCAGATCAGGCTGAACTTTAGCGTGGTCACACAACATGATGAGAGATTGGTTCTGTGTCCACCAACAAATTAGTCGTTGAGATTAGAATAAAAATGATAACATAAACCATGCGTATGTGTGGGCTTTATTTTGTTTGTTTTGCTGACAAGATGCCAGCAGCCTCAGGAAGCGAGCCACCAGCGTCTGAAAAGAATTACTGCTGACTAATCTAACAAAATGTAACACAGGAAAACATGTCGGCATGTTGGGGTTTAACGCATATTATTATTTTCTACATGTTGTTCATTTTGTTTTTGAGTATTTGTTTAAGCATGAGTTTTATTTTCGTTTTTATTTCTAACTGAGCGCCTGCAGCCCTTTAGCATGTGGACACTGACACAGGGGCGGGGCCGAGGCAGCATCGATCAGGTCAGCAGTAGAGTACAGAAGGTTGTTTGGTTTAAAAGAATTGGAAAAATCAAGTTAGCATCAAACCGTGAGAACATTTCTTGTACAGATATTTAAATTAAAAAGAAGACGTATCTGTGCGTACCTCATGCTGATTAGGACATCTCCATTTCTGAATATGAAGAGAAGAATGTTGTCTTGTGTGACATCATGAAAGTTTGCATGTTTTTCATTGGCAAAGAAAAGATCTGGCTTCCACAAACACTGGAACATTTTGGGGTCAACTGTTAGTGCGTCACTTTTAAAATCAGTAGGAAGTCGTAGGCGGGGGTCATTCCACCTCTGACGCAGAAATATATTAACTCTGTAGTCCTGTAGACAAAAGACAAATACATCTATAAAAAGATGTTAGGGCTGGGCGATGTAGACCAAAACTTATATCTCCATGTCTTTGCGCTGAATTCCGATATACGATATATCTCGATATTTTTCCTCCTGTAAAATATTTACAAGTTAACTCACTTCAAGCTGTCTTGAGAAATTATAAACATACATCAGTAGATTAAATGCATAAAAATGTATTGATTCTTGTCAAACTTTAACCTTAGTGCCTATTCTCTGGTACAGCTGTCTGTTAACACAAACATACATACACACACACACACACACACACACACACACACACACACGCACACACACGCGCGCGCACGCACGCACACACACACACACACACACACACACACACACACAAACACACAGTGCTAGAAGTGTATCAAATGTCCCACAGGCACTTTTTAATTATATATTCATAATTAATGTAAAATCATTTAAACTTCATCTAGAGGTGGTCATATCATATATTTCTTGTCCAGAGAAAATAAATCTGTTATGTTAAACTAAATGTATGATGATGTAATTGCATCTACTGAAGGTCACATGGGTCATGCACCGTGGAGTTATCAGGGCAAACATGGCTGGAGTCTAATAAAAACGTTAACCCTCTAGTTTACTATCCAAACCCTTACAATACGTTTGAGGTCATTTGGCCACTCCAGCTATCCGTAGATGTTTCCTGATTACACAGGGGAGGGAGGGGTTTGGCTCGTCTCTGCACAAGCAGGATCGATGAACAGAACGCTGTTGGCGTTGAACGTCCCCAAATAATTAAAAAACAGTACGCCAAATGCAAAGTTTAGAGCAGTACACTTATCCAGAAGCTCTCAGATTGAGCAAACTTGTACATGTAATAGCTGCTTAGAGACAGAGCAACACGTCGCTAGCATAGCGGCTAATAGCTAACATAGCAGTTTCACCAGTTATATCGATATAAAGATATAAAATCATCTTATATCTTGTTTAAAAATTATACAGATAATTTAGAAGTATTTTGAAAATATCGATATATCGCCCTGCCCTAAAATATGTATTCAACACTCTTGTTTTACTTGCTGCACAGAGCTCTGAAGGGCTCTCACCCCAAGCACACACAAGGATAAGAAGCCAACTTCATGCAGTCAAACCCTAGACCATCTCACTGCAGGGCAGCTATGCCTTTCTCCAGTGCTCCAGCACTTGTATAGCTCGTTTAAGAGTCAAGAGTGCTTTACACTACAGTGTATCATTCATCCACTCACACACACGCTGGTGGGGATGAGCTACAATGTAGCCACAGCTGCCCTGGGGCGCACTGACAGAGGCGACATCATGTAATATGTTTTCATCGGCGTTAATAACTGTGATCATTCCAACTGTTGGTTTAGACTGAGAATATTTTCTGATGGCATTCAGCAGGAGTGATTGACAAGCCAGAGGACAACTAAAAGGACTAGATGTGTCAAAGATGTGAGCATCACCATGGTTGTCTCCTGGATGGACCCAAAGCTGTTAATGAAGATGTTCACCCTGGATTCAACTGGGATGCCTGAAGGTGCACACAAAACAGCATTATGACAAAGAGAATTAAGTAAAAACAATAAAAACAAACATATATATTTTAGAAGTGTCACAAACAATTGCAACATTGATGCAGTCATTGGTTTTCATTTCCAGTGACAACAACATAGATGTAAAGACATGTTTGGTTCCAGGTAACTGTAAAGCCTTTGAGTTGCTCTGGTCCGAAGCTCAATTAGTCCTGATATAGAAACTAAAATGAAAATAAAATATTGTTACTTCTAACAGAAAATATCAATACATTAGTTGTGCATTCCAACAATGCAAAAACACAGGTCTCACAGTGAGCGTGCTTTAGCTTTGGCTGCCCCAAACGAGCCCTTTGTAAACCAGCAGAAATCAGAAGAACAGGGTGGATCAAAAGCAGCAGAAACATTGCTAGCTGTGCTCTCATTAAGAAAACGAGAACTAACCAGACGGCGAGCAGGAGGTGGGGACGCAGAAACTGACAAGTTAAAGAAAATGCAATGGTGATCTGAAATATAAACATCCTCAGGACAAACACTGCCAGCATTTAGACTCAGGGTAAAAACAAGGTCTAGAGTGTGCCCCCTGGTGTGTGTGTGGGGCCAGAAACATGCTGGGTAAAGCCGAAGGAGTCCATAAGGCTGGAGAAGTTCATTGCAGAGTGGTATGAGGGATCATCAACGTGGATGTTAAAGTCACCAACAATCACCAGTCTGGACAGCTTCACAGTGGAGGATAGAAAGTCACTAAACTCCTGAAGGAAAGAACTGTTTGGACCAGGTGGACGATAGACCACAGCACAGTAGAACGGGTCCTTACGCCCGACTTTATTCAGCTGCAGTTCAAAGGAAGCAAAGTGACCAGAGGTTGTAGAGCTACATGGAAGATGGTCTCTGTAAACAACAGCTAGGCCTCCACCACGACCAGAACCCCGGGGCTGGCTAAGAAAAGAATAACCACTCGGGCAGAGTTCAATCAGACCAGAATAATCAGATGTTTGCTGCCAAACTTCAGTCAGAAACAGAAAATCCAGGTTTTTAGACAGAATTAGATCAGTGAGCAGGAAGGTCTTAACAGAGCGGGTATTTAATAGAGCCATGCTGAGTGAGGTGGAGGAATCAGAAACTACAGAAACAGCTGGAGTTAGTGGATGTAAATTAGTAGGGTTAGATCCACGGTGTTTATAAAAACCACTTATGGAGGGAACAGGAGGGGAAACCACTGAGGAATGAGGATAAACCGACCTTAAAAAACTTGGACGGATGAACGCGGCCTGACGGGAATGCGGAAGTGGCGCTCAGGTCACCAAACAAAGGACAAGAAGCTAGAAGATCACGCCGATGTTTACCAGATAAACCACGCTTTAAGAGAAGTCTTATTCTCACCTGGATTCCTGCTCGTTTACCTCTTTTCCTCCAACATTTTCCCGGGACCGGACAAACATAGCTGGAGGTGCGCAGCTCGGGACCGTAGTTTGACTCCGGGCCAGTGCGCCACTCAGGTAAACAAACAGGATGGTACGTCCTCGGTGCATCTTGGGCGATCGTGAACGAACGGAAGGACAAAAGAGTCTGGCGATCATAGGAGATGGTAGCAGGGACACTACTGAAGAGGATCGCAGACAGGAGCAAGGTGGAAAAGAGGAGTTAGTGGAGAAAAGTTTGAAAAAGTGGCCGGTGACTGCGGCTAAGCCAAGCACAGGCGCCATCTTGTTACCGACCGGAAGCGGAAAAAATATATGTAATCATCGCATCTTATTGGTCATTTTCAATAAAGTTGTAGTGTTTCATTTCATTACAGTAGCTTTGTGCCGTCCTCCAGTAACCTGGCCTGCCAGACTCGTCCTCTGTTTAATTCTACACAGAGAACTTGTCTAGTTACTCACAGGCAGAAAAGTACATCGGGGCGGGACTAGCCAGTTCAAAAATAACCAATCAGAAAAAAGGCGGAAATGCCAACTGTACCGCACGACGCTGTAGGTTTTTTTTAGCTGTAGTCAAAAATGTTATCTGGCGACAGCGCATACATCTTTCCTTAGAAGAAAGGCTTTTTTCACTTCTACTTGTTTAGTTTTAAGAGGTGAAGAGGGAGCTGAGGCAGAAAGCCAGGCTCTCGGTTTACCGGTCGATCTACGTCCCAATCCTCACCTATGGTCATGAGCTTTGGGTAATGACCGAAAGAACGAGATCGCGGATACAAGCGGCCGAAATGAGTTTCCTCCGTAGGGTGGCCGGGCTCAGCCTTAGAGATAGGGTGAGGAGCTCGGACATTCGGGAGGGACTCGGAGTAGAACCGCTGCTCCTCCGGATTGAAAGGAGTCAGTTGAGGTTATTTGGGCATCTGGTCAGGATGCCTCCTGGACGCCTCCCTGGGGAGGTGTTTCGGACATGTCCTGCCGGCAGGAGGCCCCCTGGTTGACCCAGGACACGTAGGAGAGGTTACATCTCCAATCTGGTCCGGGAACGCCTTGGGGTCCTGCCGGAGGAGCTGGCGGACAAGGCCGGGGAGAGGACGGCCTGGAGCTCCCTAGTTGGGATGCTGCCCCCGCGACCCGGACCCGGATAAGCGAAGGAAGACGATGACGACGACCTATTTAACAGAAAGCTCTGGACCCTTCACTCGTGAAAAGTTAAAGACTGTCAAAAATCTGGAGACCTACGATCATTTAGTTTCAGTGAAAGTTGAGCCGATTTCCTCTGAAAACAGAAAGCTGTGGTCGTGCCAAAAGCAGCTCTCAGCTCCGATGGGCAGAGTCACAGCATTGCTCACATCAGCTGGTGGTGATGGCCAAAGAAAATAGATTCATTCTCATTTTCATCCTATTGCTTTGCCATACATGCTGAGTGTAATCAGATTTCTTTGTGTAATTGTTACAGAGGGACCATTGACAATAGTGGGCATGTAGGTCAGGGATCTCCAACCTTTTGGAGACTGTGAGCTACTTTTACACAAAGAAAATGCAGAAGAGCTACAGTGGGTACGGAAAGTAGTGAGACCCCCTTCTGACCATGTCATATTTCAGTTTTTCTTTTTTAATAAATCTGCAGAAATGAGTAAAATTCTGTTTTTCTGTCAATATGGGGTGCTGTGTGTACATCAGTGAGAAAAAAATAAATGTATTGGTTTTAGCAAAAGGCTGCAATATGACAATTTACGTTCGTGTAAACAGGTTATCTAGAACCTTCAGTGGCCATGGGGATTTTTCTTGGTGAGCTTGTGCTCATGATGTTATTGACCGAAGTGATAATCACCCCTGTGTTAATGGTGGCTCTTTTGCACTAGTGGGTTTACTGCTGAGTGACATTTGAAAACATGGATGTAGTTTTTAGGGGGAGCAGGGGGACATGCCCCCCACTTTTTCCAAAGTCACTTTTTGTCCCCTGCACTTTTTACTGTTCAAAAACAAAATGACGCTATATTATATTAAATAGACACTGGTTGAGCTCTAGGACCAAGTGGAAAACAGCTGCTTGTGTTGAAGCCTGTTTCTCATTAGAACTGTCCATAAGCTCATCTATTGGCTCTGCTGATACTTGCTAATGTGTGATTGGCTGTTCCTGCCACCTGTGCATTTGACAGCATTCCTGACATTGGTAAATGGTAAATGGCTTGTATTTGTATGGCGCCTTCTTAGGGTTCTACAACCCCCCAAGCCACTTCACAACACAACCAGTCATTCACACATTCACACGCTGATGGTGATGAGCTACGATGTAGCCACAGCTGCCCTGGGGCGTGCTGACAGTGGCGAGGCTGCTGAGCACTGGCGCCACCAGTCCCTCTGAATCCCACCAGCAGGCAACGTGGGTTAAGTGTCTTGCAGCAGCATTGTCTGGTCATAGCCGGGATCAAACCTGCAACCTTCCGATTACTGGACAACCCGCTCTACCTCCTGAGCTACTGCTGTTTTATTGCATACGGGTGGGGATCATGCTTGACAAGATTGGTCAGTATGAGCATTTCTTGTCTGACTAGCATCAAACTATGATCTGTTTAAACACAAGTAGAGCACTGGAGGGATTATAATGTCTGGTCTGGCGCAGGACTAACAAAAGAGAAGCTGGCTGGAGTGGCTGGACAGTGGACAGTCTGTGCTGCCCTCATGACCCAGACTTCATTAAGCTGAAGCCAAATCAAAGGACAATGTGTTTGCTCTGTAAAACTTTGATTAATTGCTGAAATGACACAAGTGTTTGAGAGTTTCTCTCCCATCAGGTTGTTGCAAAGCAGATTTGGCTTCACATTTCTAACCCAGGCATGGTTGGGTGCAGGGGCCTCGGATGAGGGCCTGGGATCTGTTAACCGTGAGTTGTAATGATGAATGCTGGTGATTATTTGGAATCATTGTGAAATTTGAATTTGAACAAACTTTTGTCCGCGACCAAACAGAAAGTAATTATTTCTCTAAAAACAATGAATTAGAAGCAAATTTCCAAATTGATTAGAATCAATTTTTTTATAACATAAATTGACAAAAAAAAAAGAACAAAGGGATGCATTTCATTTAGAAAACTTTGCCATTTGTGGGAATTAGATATTGTTAATTATTAACCAGTCATACTGCAGTGTTACCTTGAAAATTAGGCCTAATTCTTGGGTCATAACTGACCATCAGACGATTCAAAATGTTAGACGTAGAGTTAGCAGGAACCTGGGCCAAATCTTCTGGTGACAGCTGTCTGGAAGACGAGAGTAAATAAAAACAAATCCTGAGAAAAGACATCAGTTTTAACATACACAAATAACCAATATTAGTATGGAATAATCCAATCTAATCTAATAACAGAGTTGTCTCTCATACACGTAACACAAGAAAACAAGCAATGGGAATTCATAATGAGAGGGGAAAACATCCTAAATCTTTCATTAGGTTCCCGTTCTAAAACTCTAAACATTGAGTTTTGTTTGAATCTCGTTTCTCAGATGATGACGAGTTGTTTCTGTTGCTGCAGCAAAGTACACATAAATGTAGGTCAATCTCATGGCTATGGATGGGCAAGCCAGAGGTGTGAACTCGAGTCACATGACTTGGACGCGAGTCAGACTCGAGTCATTATTTTAATGACTTCTGACTTGACTTGATAAAATCTATAAAGACTTACGACTTGACTCGGACTTGTACGCCAATGACTTGTGACTTGAATTGATTTGCATCTGTTGACTTGATGATGACTTGAGCATATTTGATATTTTAGCACAAAAGTGGCACGACGTGGAAAAAAATCATGAATCATTCCTGGTTCTGAGTTTGATTTACTGCTAAAAGCAGCAGCTCTTTGCTTATAATCAGTTTCAGTTGCTCTTTCTGCTGTTTGACCAAATAAATGAAGCTTTAAGACACTTTAATTCTGGAATTTATTTAATATCATTGTCATTAAATTGAAGTTGGGTAGATGACTTGGTTATGACTTGAAAATTCAAAGTTAAGGACTTGGACTTGACGTGTACTTCCACATCTTTGACGTTGGACTCGACTTGGACTTGGTTGTCTTTGACTTGGACTTGACTCGAGACTTGACTGGAAAGACTTGTGACTTACTTGTGACTTGCAAAGCAGTGACTTGGTCACACCTCTGGGGCAAGTGCTGTTTTGACTGACGCCGGCTTTTTGCCGGCCATAAAAGCGGTCGCGTAACGTGATAGCAGTGTTGTACCCGAGAGTTCATTCCCAACAAGCAATTCTGACACAAAACAGGGACGAAAGTGTTCCACGCAGCTGATCCCGCGACGTCACAAAATCACAGGAGAACTGAAACATCACATGTGATTTCAGAAGTCCACATGCAACAAGACAGACGACAGCTGCCTGCATCAGAACGGTATGTGGGTTATTCTTTGTTCTGTTCACATTGGTTACAGAAGTTCACGGGAAAAGACTTACTGCACGTGACCTTTATTTTGAACGTTTCTGGATTACCTACACTGCTTTTGTGTTTGACTTCCTGTCTGGTTCAATCTAAACTGCAGAGTTTAACATGTTTTGGAAGTGTAGCGCATCAAAAATAGACTTCAAACATAATGGTAGCATGCCCTCGCGGGTGCGTCCATGCTGGTGGATAGGAACTCATCCACTATAATGGCAGCTAATTGCCACATAGAACGTTTCCCGTTTTGGGGCGCTTTCATGTGCAGTGGAACAGTGGACAGGACACAGCTCTGCAGCAGTGCATGGGGCCTGTGGTGTGGCAGATGGGGATAGTCCCCATTTTTACCAGACAACCAGAGGGTGTGTTCCATATGGGTTAACAGCTGAAACTCAGACTGAGGACGAACAATGTGGAATCATGGAACTATGGACTTGTCCTTTACCTTTGCTGCACGGGACATGGAAGTTAGCCCAACCAGTCCACTTGTGTTTGTGGGGAGGTTTGAGTATGAAGCAGCTGGGATGGGGATCAGCTAATCCAAGTTCCAGGCCATAGAGTTCTTAACCAGAAAAGGGTGGGTGTTCATCTCCACACTGGGAGAGAGGTCCTACCTCAAGTGTAGAAGTGTAAGTATCTGAGGGAAGTGAAGCTGGTAAGGAGATCAACAGGCAGAGCGAGGCACCATCTGATGTGGTGGCAGAGGCGGATTTAGCAATTTGGGGGCCCAAGGCGAACACAGACATGGGGCCCCTTACACTGAATTTTCGACAATCTTACCTTTAACTGGATTTGCGAAACTCTCCTCTTCTGACACGAGTTATTTTCACTTTTTATTAGTCCTCCTCTTTTTTCCTGTATTTCCCGCTCTTTGAGCGCTTTCAATATTTGCTCTGCTTTCTTCTTCCTGTCAGTGCTCCTGTGCTTTTGCCTTACTTATTTTTTATTTTATTTTCCATTTTGGTCTATGTTTTCCTCCCTTTATACATTTTCCACTGTCTTTCTTTTCTGCTTCCTTTTGATGTTTACATCGAAAAACGACGTCACTTTCAGACGTGAAAATAAAAGCTTTTATGAAGCAAGCAGCTGCTTTCTCTTATTGGAGTCACTAGGATAACTCCATGTCATGCTTCATGTTTTGACTATCGCTTTGAGTTTGTTACGAACGCTCCCGCCTCTCTTCTTCTTCTTATTTGTGGTCTTATGGCACTTGGCAAACAACAATCTGGTGCATTACCGCCACCAACTGGATTGGAGTGGAATGACTACCAATCACTTCCTGTTTGTGCATCGGCGTCTTAATAACCCTCTTATGACCATAATTATAACAGGGCCGCCTGGTATGTTTTAATCTTATGGCTGTAAAATTGTATAAAAAAGTGAAAAGTGTGTGTAACTCGTCTCTTTTCAGAACAACCTCAGCTTTTGGTGTATGCTTTGTATTTAGAATTTATTTCTATTTATTTTTCTTATTTATTTTTAAAACCTTTAAAAAATCTGCTTAAAAGTGAAAAAAGCAAAAAACGGATTTGAATTTTTTACATTTATTACTGAACAGGAACTTCAAATTTACTGGGCAAACAATTTAAACTTTGAACTGTAATGCATCTATTGTTAAAAAAGTTTGAACCTTGGCATCATTTTTAGCAGTTTTTAAGACCATTTATTTTTGTAAACTTTCAGACGTTTTTATTTGATGGTAGACCTTGAAGCAGTTTCTCTCCAGCTGCAGGCAGAGTCCTGCACACCTCACACTGCCATGGGGTGCTTCTCTTGCACACCGTGCTGATATACCAAAAACTTTTGTTTTAGCAAAAATAATTATTTATGGTAAAAAGATAAATAATGCTGGAATGAAGCTGAATCTTACAATTAGCAAATAGTTGAGGGTTGTTCACATAAAAAAATAAAAAATAAAGACAGAACAAACATTCATACCCTGGTTCAGCGGAGATCTGTCCTTCGTGGTCACTGTCTTCAGATATAAGCCTTCTGGGACACCTAATAGATCGTGTTGATTTTCTTTGAGGCATTTCAACAATTTCATGCCGGCTTTTTATGCTAATTAGCTTCCCCGTTCCGTTATCCGCTTTCACCGCGGCGCTGTGCTCTGCTGTGCTCCGTTTCAATCAGGCTGCACAGCGGGATTTCCCCTCGTAGCGATATTTTCCATAACTCTGATTGCTTCATGCTATAGATCGTTGGAAAGCTGCTTTTATGTATTTTTAGGAACCGTTGGAATTTTTTGAATCTCATCAGCCATTCAAAAGTTATAATGGAGCTTTTTGGATGACAAACTCAGCACGTCTGTTGTGATTCGTTGTGCTCAAGACAGGGAATCCCGGTGGCTACCGTAATGTATTGTATATGCACGAAAAGCCCCATTTTAAATATTTTCAGCACTTTTGGAATTTTAACTTCAGGAATTATGGTAATGAGAAGCATGTCCAATCCCGTCTGCGGTGACAGATTGGTAATAAGAATATTGTGGCATTAACAGAGGGGTGCCGGCGGTCAGGGCTAGGGGGCCCCCCAACACAAGGGGGCCCCATGCTGACCTATGCCTAATGGTAAAATCGCCACTGTGTGGCGGGGAGGGAGCTGAGACACAAAGCAAAGCTGTCAAATGACCTCTATTCTGGAATAGAGGTCATTCTTTACCTGAGGGCATGAGATTTTACTAATGACCAAAAGGCTCAGCAGGATGGCTGGTCTCATACCAAGGCAATGGTTGAGGAGGAACCAGTTGTGGTGTCCTGAACACCTCCTGAGGGAAGGTGTTTCAGGCAAGTCCAACCAGCAAAATGCTAAAGAGGTTAAGGCAGGCCTGAGAACATCTGGGATGCCACTGGTCATTGTGGAGGGGACTGAGGACAGGATGGTCTAGGCTCACCTGCAGGGGCTGCTGCCCTTGTGGCCATGTGGAGTATGAACTCTCATCATTTTGCCTCATTGCATTTTTAAAAGTCAACAACAACCTAACTTAAAAATTGGGTTTATTTGGATAAAACAACGTTCTTACGTACGATGGGCAGACGACCTGCTTCCCTTTTTTCCCCTTCTTAGTAGATTTTCCTTCTTTGGCTGCGGAAAAATGCCAACAGCAAAGCAACAAAAGCAGCAAAATTCCTGATGACAACCCAGCAGCCATGATGCCTGAAAGAGAGAAATACTGGAATTAGATCATATCACACGTGAGTCGTAGCAATAAGTCACCACCGCTAAAAGGGTTTCCTTTCGTGACAATTACAGACATGCAAACACACGTGTGTGTGTGTGTGTGTGTGTGTGTGTGTGTGTGTGTGTGTGTGTGTGTGTGTGTGTGTGTGTGTGTGTGTGTGTGTATCTTTGAAGTGAGCTGTTCAGAGGTTGACAAAGATCATGTATTTGTAGGTTGGTGTAAATCAGATCTTGCAAATGTTATTTTATTTCCATCTTAGATTACGGTGACATCATTTACAGAACTGCTTCCAAAAAACTTCTTCATAAACTCGACGTCATTTATCACTCGGTAATCCGTTTGGTCACTGGTGCCCCTTTCACTACTCATCATTGTGATCTCACTCGGTAACTGGCCATCACTCCATTCCTGCAGGATGTTACATCGGCATCAGTTCATAAACAAAACAATCATCAGTAGAACCGTCATATCTTCGCTCATTACTCATCACTTCCAACAACCAGCACAGTTTACGTTCCAGTAACTTCATCTCTATGGTTATTCCCAAAGCTCCCACCTCCTTTGGCCGCTCCTCATTCCAGTTTGCTGCTTCCAATGACTGGAATGAGCTGCAAAAACCACTGAAGCTCACTACCTACGTTCCACTATCTACCTTCAATCATTCATGGTGATCAATATTTTCTGATCAATGTGCTTCTGAGTACTTAAAGACTGAAGTCTGATTTGATTGCTTGTACATATTATATATGAGAACAGTACATTGTCTTTATGTCTAACTGTTTGATCTTATTTTTGTCTTGTACGTTTTTATCTTACCTGTTGTTCTTTGGTGTAAAGCTAACTATGTGTGACGCTGCTGCCTCTGGGCCGGAGCAACGTTCTACATGTGAACGAGTTCTCAATCGACTCATCTGGTTAAATCAATTAAAAAAACAATACTTGGTATTTGTGTGTGTGTGTGTGTGTGTGTGTGTGTGTGTGTGTGTGTGTGTGTGTGTGTGTGTGTGTGTGTGTGTGTGTGTGTGTGTGTGTGTGTGTGTGTGTGTGTGTGTGTGTGTGTGTGTGTGTGTGTGTGTGTGTGTGTGTGTAACCTGCTGGGTACCTTATATAGGAAACTTTTTACTGATTGGCTTAATGAACTGACCTGTATAGGAATGTTTACTGTGTGAACGACTCTTGTTGTCATTTGGCGCTTTACAAATAAACTGAATTGAATTGAAACCGAATTTCAGACACTGAGATACACCTTATAGCAGGGCTATTCAAATCGGGTCTGGAGGGCTGTCGGTGTCCAGCGTGTTTAAGGCCCTGTCCACACGTAGCCGGGGATCTGCCAAAACGTAGATATTTTTCTACGTTTTGGCCTGTCATCCACACGAAAACTGAGTTTTTTCACACGAAAACGGATCTTTTTAAAAACTCCGGCCAAAGTGAAGATCTGCGTTTTCTCCGTTTTGGGTGTCTGCGTGTGGACGGACAAAACCGGAGTTTTAAGGTCCGCAACGTCACTTTCCGCGACAAAAAAATGCTGACATCACGTGTGCGACCTGTGTTTACACTAGCCGGCATCATGGATGCCCTCAGAGCTGCGCTCGCTTTATCAATTGTCCAAGCGCTTTTTGCTTGTTTGTTTTTGCAAGTGGAATTACTGCTCCTTGCGGAAGACAACAGACGAAGGACGAGGTTAAGAACGGGGGAAGTACTGCCGCCTACAGGTCTGGCATGTCCTTAACCACGTATTTATCCGGGTACGTGTGGACAGAGTTTTTTTTAAAACGAGGTGGTGTGGATGCAAGTTTTTGGAGGGGCGGAAATTCGTTTTTTAAAAAACCCGGCTAAGCAACTTGAGTGAGTCGTGCAGCAACGTTTTCCCCAGTGTGCGCTTCATCCATCAGTTTAGTTTCTAACACAATGCTATTCATTTTCCAGTCTGCGTCGATAAAATGGACCGTAACTGTCATGTATGCCTCCATTGTGAGTGAAGACCACAAATCAGTTGTGAGGCTTACAGCCTCGGAGGATTGGAGTAACTGATTTACATTCAATTTAAGTCCTTCAAACCGTGAACGTAGCGCACGCATAACAGTGTCCCGTGCTGGCACAGTGTATCTTGGCTCAACGATTTTAAACAGTTCCTTAAAGCCCTTTCCTTCCATCGTGTTGATTGGCCTCATATCTTGGGTGATGTAATGCACAATCCCTTTAAGGATATCCTCCTTTCTTTTTGCCGACAGAGGATGGACCAACTCCAGTTGCGTCTGGGTGCTTCCTGACGCCCGCGGCATGGCCTGGGGATACGCCTAGTACATAACCAGTAAAATATATAAATTTTAGGCATAGCCTAAGACAGGGATTCCCAAAGTGTGGTGCGCGCACCCCCGGGGGTGCGCGAGCTGCCGCTAGGGGGTGTGCGAGGTGAAAAGTGTAATGGCTGCAGAGCTCAGAGAAGTCTGTCAAAAGTCACCATTAGCGTAGCCAGAAACTCATTTGTGGGTGGGCCTAAGAAAATGTAAGTGTGCCCAATAAACGTAATTGAAAACAAGTATATTTTCCCTGTGTGTGTGTGTGTGTGTGTGTGTGTGTGTGTGTGTGTGTGTGTGTGTGTGTGTGTGTGTGTGTGTGTGTGTGTGTGTGTGTGTCCTCCGCACATGCCCTAGCTCAGGGGTCGGCAATCCGCGGCTCTGGAGCCGCATGCGGCTCTTCCATCCATCTGATGCGGCTCTCTGTGCTTGTAAAATAATGAATGGATATTTAAATAAAATGCTTTATATTTTACTGTATAAATTTTACATCTGTATGCTAATTCTAAATGTAAAGATTGTCTGCGTAAACCTGAACAGTTCCAACCTGGTCTTTCTGTGAGACCGGGTTGATGCGTCACACTTGTGCGTAATCATAGTCGCTTCCTGAGCTGAAGACGATGTGAGATTCTGGGACTCTCCTCAGACGCCACATTGGAGACAGGAACAAGCACAATTCAGCCAAAGTTTCATCATCACGGAACATTTTCTAAGTGACAAGTCTCTCTGAGAGACCGGGTTTGGAAAACTCTCGCTTCAGTGGAAGGAATCTTCCTGCATGCGCTCTGGTTCTGCGACGTGCTCCAAGCCCCTCTCCACATCTTCAGCTCGCTGTGCACCTTATGTACGTGCTGACAGTGAGCTGCGCTGAGCGGTGTCCAGCTCAGATGTTCAGAAGGAAATCTTTTCTTGAGTGATTTAGCTACATCTGCGATTTGCGAAACGAATAAAGTGTCAGTTCGTCTGCATGCGTCGGGGTGATTCTTTCTATTCTTTCTCCGTCAAAATAAACGGTCAAATACGGGAACTGTCCGGTCAACACAAGCCCTGCTTTTAACTGTTCTGTTTTCTTGTGAAAATTGTTGCAAAGAGATATAATTTAACTTGATTACCACCAGAGCCAGGCGCACTGCGCCATTATCTCCGTCGCTGTAAATGAGGGAAAAACAAAATGATCGGATCCTTTTCTGACCTTCCCCACCTACAAAGTTTAATTACAACAATCAAACGTGACAGAGCCTGGATTTGTATTCTGAACAGTCTAAACATGTTTTAAAAAGAAACGTATGACAAAAGTGGCACCTGCTCAGTAAAACCACCAACAGGGTGAAAAATATCTAAATATTGTCGGCAGAGACGGGCTACAACTTCTGGATCCACTTTATATAAATTGTTTTATTGATTATCTTCTTATGAAAGATAAATTTGATGTACACGAGCGACCAGTACCGGCTGCTGTCACCTGTTGTGAGCAGCTCTCTGCTGTCTGAGGGTAGGCCCCGCCCACAACGCCGCAGCTGCTGCGGTGTTTTCTTTACTGTGGGAAACGGGTAATAATGGCTCTTTGATGGGAACAGGTTGCCGACCCCTGGTTTAGCGTGACGTCTGATATATATGTATGTATGTATATATATATATATATATATATATATATATATATATATATATATATATATATATATATATATATATATATACATATATATATATACATATATATATATATAGCCATGCCCTGACGTGGGGCTGGGGGGTGCGTCAACATGGTCGGGACATAGAAGGGGGTGTGCGGCTAAATAAGTTTGGGAACCACTGGCCTAAGACATGACAGGCTCTCTGACACATGTATATTTTCCTTACCGCTTTTAGGTGATAGGCCATATTGGTCATTGAGCTATGGTAAGTTAGCTTTAGGCCGCATAGCTTGCACTCCACAGTCTTGTTGTCTTTTTTTGTAAAATGCATCTAGACAAAAGATTTAGATTTCTTCGACATCTTGTCGACTAAACCCAAACAAGCCGCGTTCTAACTGAATGAATACAGCAAAACTACATATTCCTTGCTCAGCGCAAAGCAGCATCCATGTGTTGTGCTGCACATCCAGTCACACATGCGGCTTCAGCATGTTCTTGCGACTTGAATCGACTTGCATCTATTGACTTGATGATGACTTGAGCGTATTTGATATTTTAGCACAAAAGTGGCTCAGCATGGACAAAAATCATGAATCATTCTTCGTTCTGGGTTTGATTTACTGCTAACTGCAGTAGCTCTTTGTTTATAAATGAAGCTTTAAGAAGCTTTATTTCTGGACTTTATTTATCATCATCGTCATTAAATTGAAGTTGGACAGATGACTTGATTATAACTTGAAAATTCAAAGTTAAGGACTTGGACTTGACTCGGACTTCCACGTCATTGACTTTAGACCTGACTTGGACTTGATTGTCTTTGACTTGGACTTGACATCGAGACTTGACTGGAAAGACTTGTGACTTACTTGTGACTTGCAAACCAGTCACTTGGTCACACCTCTGATATTTAAAGAACTGATGGTCCAGATCAACGACAGCACAGAAGCCCAGTTACGGAGTTTCATAGCTCTTGGTTAATTGGAGTGGAATGATGTGATTGAGCCCTGAGTTCTTACGTAACTGTAATTACAGCCATTTAGT